TTCAAACTCTCGAGCTGTTGCTCCATTTCCAATTTGTTCAGCACGTGAATTTACATTAAGCTTAAAACCAGCAGTATAGCTTCTGTTCCGTTTAGGTGACATTTTCAAAAATTTTCTGCTCTTCTTACTTAAAAACTATCCAACAAGTACTTGTACTCAAACTGATGGGATCTGTATCTCGCAGAATGCCAAGAAAAATTGATTCATGCTGAAGGAGAAATACGCCAGAGTTCGTTATTGCAAGGCAGGTGGAGTCGTGTCCACCTTTGAAAAAAATTGCAGAAAAGGCAGGGGGTGGGGAGAGTATGGGTCCTGGAAGATTCATCAAATGTCAGAGGAGATAGACTATTCAAACTGATGAAAATGTTGATTTGAAAGGGGGAAGAATGTTATTGTTCTGAGATCTTGTTTAGGGTGAATAAGGCATATAGGTCCGTTCAAGAGAGAGAATGTAAACAAAACAACGTTCGCAAAAAACAACTGAGTGGTCTTTTGTGTAGGAACAGCAGCAGTCTATGCACAATACAAGGCCATCCAAACCATGTACAATGACCATCATAGGAAATATTTTATATTTAGTGCACCTAAACTCTGCATGGGTAGAAATGCCGCACCCGCTGAATATTTAAGTTTTAAACACATAAACGCTGCAGTGTTTCTTCTGGAAATTACGGTAAGTGACCTATTTAAGGTGTTAAATTGTAAAATTAAAACAAATAAAGCAATTATACTGCATGAAATTCAGAGTATTAAAAAAGAATAGCTGGGAAACAAAATAAACATACTGTATGATAGTTAAACACACAACTAACACTGCAGCATGCCTTCCAATGATGCAGCATAATGCTTCAGTCACCTGAGTTCAATGGCATACTCAACTTTTTAGATACAATGCTCACAAACTTACTATCCTTTTAAAATTTTATGCCAGCCCAGAGGAAATAAAATTGGCTATTTAAATTACTAGCTGCAAGAGTCTACAAACGACATTCTTGAAGAACCGAAGAAACTTAGAATTTACTATCTTTTGTATACTGCTTGCTTCTGTATACTCCTTGTTTTATTTTAATACTATTATTACTTTAAAAGTAATTTAGAAATTGCTACAGGAAAGGAAGCAAAATACTTTATAGAAAAAGGCAGTAAAGTAAATAGTAGAAATAGGCACTTTTATCCATTGTACGCCTCATGCCATTCAGAGGGTTTAAATTATGAACCAGAGAATTCTGAGAAATAAGTTTTCTCAATAACTTCCTTAAAAATTCTCATGGGAAGCTGTGAAGGTCCTCCAATACTGTGTTTGTTATGGATTAGACACTTATTGTGTGTACTATTACAATTAAGTGATACTAAGTACTGAATTAATTATGCACAATTACAAGTTCAGCTAATATACTTTAATATTACTATGCTGTAGTATTTATTAATCTCATTATTCTATGTGACTGATTAATACAGTCTATGATGCACTATCTGGCCAAAAAAATCTGGACATTTCCCTAAAGAAGAGAATCTGGCACGTGATGCAATTTGATGCATAACCAAAAGCTATAAAAGAATCTGTGTAAATTATGCATCTGTGAGAAAATGAGTAAGTCAAAGGAGGTTAGTTACTTTGATCGTAGCAGTATAGTGGATGACACCTTTGTGGGAAATCAGTTCATGAAATTTTGAACATTCTACAAAAGTCAAAATGCACTTTGAGGGATGTAAGTAAAACCATCGAGGCAATGAAACTGCAGAAAAACGAAGTGGCAGGCCGAAAAAATTAATGAATGCAGCTGTAGAACTGTGAAAAGGGTAGTGAAACAAAACCGCATGTCCTCGCTAACTGAAATCACTCAGAAGTTCCAAAGTTCATCGGCCATTAGTGCTAGCAGCAGGACTGTTTGTATAGAGTTAAAAAAACCTGTGATTCCATGGTCGTACAGCCGCTTGCAAGCTAAGCATCACTCCCCAGAATGTGAAACATTGATTGCAATGGTGCAAAGCTCACCGTCATTGGACTGTGGACATGTGTAAAAATATTCTTTGGAGTGATGAATCCCGCTTTGCAATCTGGCAGTTCAATGGATGCATTTCAGTTTGGCAGATGACCGGCGAGTGCTTCTTAAGCTACTGTATTGTGCCAACTGTAAAGTGTGATGGAGGCAGCATCCTTGTGTGGGGGTGTTGTTCATGGTTTAGCCTGGGTCACTTAGTTCTTGTGGTTGCAAACATGAACTCTGAGACGTACGTTCACATTCTGGACAATGCTGCTCTCCCAACCCTATGGCAGTATTTTGGAGAAGACCCTTTTCTCTTCCAGCAATATAACTGCTCCATTCACACATCAATTCTTGCGCAGCCATGGTTTGATGAAACGGGCATTCAAAAACTGGACTGGCATTCTCAGAGCCCTGATCTAAATCCCATAGAACACCTTTGGAATGAATTAGAACACAGATTACGTAGTCAGGCAAATCGGCCATCCTCAATGCTAGAATTCACTTCTGCTGTGATATACACCTGGAAGCGAAGTCCTATCAAAAACTGGTGGAAACTCTCCTCAGACACATGCAGGCTGTCCCCAATGCAAGAGGGGCCAACATCATAGGACCCTCCAACTCCATACCACTGGGTGTCCGAATAATTTTGACCAGATAGAGTTTGCCTGCCTGTATGTTTATATCCTATATCATTAACTCTTTGCCTGTGATGCCCAAACTCAGTTCGGGCAATGCAAATGTACCAATTTTGGAATGCCCAAACTAAAAATTCAATGTTTCAATTCTGTGAAGCCCAAACTCAGTTCGTCCAATGCATAACACGTAATTTACCATTTTTCCAATAGGTCGCGATACTATTCCGCGAATGGCAGTTTTGCGCCATTTGTTGGAATTTTGTTATTTTGCATTTCTTACCAAATTTCCTTCCAACCACATTATGTTCGCAATATCGAAATCAGAAGATGATGAAAAACACTTGTTAGGCTCTTCATGTTCAAATACCAGTATTTCACCAGAAGAGTAAGACTATTCTGAAAATGACCGCGAAAGTGAAACTCTTTCGTGCCGAACCTGAATACCGCTATGTTTGAATAATCTTCCTCCAACTGCTCCAAGATTCCCATTCCAACTACCACAAGTGGGTGCAACAATTGACGCTTCTACTTTTACTCAAGAAAAACAATATTTTACGACTTGAATTTTATGATTTTATGATGACGACTTGATTCACATCATTACAGAAGAGTTTAATAGATATGCACAGCAATGTATTGAAAGACAATACCTAAAGCCAAAACCCGATCAAAAATGGTCAAAAAAGACATGTCTTGAAACTTCATTCTTTCGCAAAGTTATGTCCTACGACAGATTTCAAATGATAAGAAAATATTTACATTTTGTAAACAATGAAGAAGTCGACCTTGAAACACACTTTAAAGCAAAACTGCACAAAATTTGGCCCATTCATGTAAAAATCCACTGTAAAAATCTGAGGGATATGAAATTCATGACAGTTGATTTAAATAATAATATTGTTGTATTAGTTTATTATATAAAGGCAGATCAAAAAGCAAGTTGCACTTCCAAGTTATGACCATTTATTAAATTGTCAATACAAAAGCAATTTGGCTGTGACAGCATACAATGTCCACATAGTTCCCAAGACAAACATTTCAATTCAGGATGCATAGAAATCTCCTCCAGCGCTATGTAACCACAGGGAGACAGCTACTTTCACCTCCTCGTCATTTTGGAATCGTTTTTCACGGAGATCTTTTTTAAGCTTACCGAAAACATGAACGCAACACCTCACACGGCTCGCCAAAGTGCAACCTACTGTAACAATTCAAGTGGGAGGTACGACAACATTTTCCATACAGTCTCAATTTAGCGTCATGTGACTTTCATGTTTTCGTTTAGCTTAAAAAGAATCTCAATGGACAATGATTCCAAAATGATACGGAGGTGAAAGCAGCTGTCTCCACGTGGTTACTATAGCGTTGGAGGAGATTTCTATGCATCCGGAATCGAAAAGTTGGTTGTCTGTTCGGAGAAATGCTTAGAGTGTCTTGGGAACTATGGGGAAAAGTAAACTTACATTGCATGCTGTCATAACCATGTTGCTTTTGTAATAACAATTTAATAACTGGTCATAACTTGGAAGTGCCACTAACTATTTGATCTGCTCTTGCATTTATTTTGAAAATTATTTCATTTGATTTATTTTGCTATAATTTGAACAAAAAATTGCTGTAATCTATCAACATTTCCTATGTGTGAAAATACTGAATATAGTAGTTATTTTGTTTAAAATTTTGTTTTTTTAAAAATAATCTATTTCTAACATTTTGATGATAATAACAGACAAAATTAAAGAGGGGAAAAAATTTCCATTTTTGGCACATTTTTCTACACTATATTCCACATGCGTTAATGATAGATTTAGGCCCAGAGCTATTACATTTTGCACATATATTGCCCGAACAGTGAAGAAACACCCTCGAGCCCGAACACCCTCTAAAAATAAGGATTGATGGTGAATCTTATTTTCAGACATATAACAACAAAACTCCAGTTTTTCAGTATGATATTTGATTGGAATAGAAAAAGGAGAAACTAGAAAATTAGGAAGATTAAAAAAATAAAAACATATTTCTTCTTAAAGGGGGGAGATGACAAAACACTTCTACATTACAGCATTACTGTTCTACTCTAAAAGTCACCTAAAAATTTGCCTTTCTGTACCAGTAGCAATTATCCACTATTCTACTTTTTAACACTTACTCTCAAATGCAAAGGAAATTAGTCTGTTTAAAAACTAGACAGCTATAGATCTTTCAGTATGTGAAAATAGTAACATTTTCTCCTTAATTAAAGAATTTCACTTTATACACAAAAAGTGTGTTTTAATAACATGAAAATATACCTACTATATTTTACACTTTCAATTTCAAAATATAAAGTAAATTGTTCATTACATATAATAAAATGTTTCATATTGACTTTTCTAACCTGCTAATATACGATGCATAAGTCTTGCAAAATTTCCATAATTTTTATTAGCATAGAATTTTCTCACTGACTTTTCAAATTCACTGCCATTCAAATTCAGATTTTCAGACCTACCAAAAAAAATCTTACTTAATAAAATCTCAAAATATATAACTGATGATTTTCAGCTACATTATAATTTAAAGTGAAAGTATAAACTGATAAGATTACACATTAAGTAACAGAACTACATTACAGAATATGTACTAATAAACATGTTTTTATATTATTAATTTATTATGAGTACAATAGTAACTGTTTCAGTGGATATACTGTGAGAATATCAGATATGTAAGATGCTTCTTACATTCATTATACGGTCACACACAGAAAATTTAAAATTTTTAAAGTTGAAAGGAAACTCTTATCCCAATAAATATGAAAGCTTTTGGATTTTACATTACACTGAAACGGGCACTTTTTAAACATTTTCTGTGTTACCTTTATTTATTAAATACCATGTTCATCGCACTTAAACCATAAAATTTAATTCAACAGCAATATCACAAAATAATTTAAAAAGAGCATATCTTTAGAATTTCCAATACACAGTCTCGCACGCTGGGGATAAAACATTTTCCCCCCATACAGTGTTACCTCTGCTCACTTTGAAATCGTTGAGTTTGTTAATAAAAAATTCATTAAAGATTTACAAAATATGAAATAGATAATAAAACAAATTCCATATTTGGGCTTCCAGATGCCCATATTTCAGTGAAGGACTACGTTATTAAAAAATTTTATGTTTCTAGGTGCCATTGTTTTTTCACAGTGCTTGATACATACATACATCCATGCAGATTCTTCATTATTTAATTTCTTTAAATATAATACTGGTCTCTATTATTTGGTGGCAACAATTTGAAAAGGGAGATGCTGCTTATAGTGGACCAATGCAAAATGAAATTAATAGCCCTTCTGGGCAAACTGACCCTTTGGGCAAATAATTTTGTTATATATGAAAAAAAATTATAAAAACAGAAATATTTCTGTAATAAGAGCCTTAAAAAGTAAAGAACACAGAAGACAAATTTTTCTCATTCATAACATGAAAATCCTAAAATATATCTTGATTATCATGGGATGGAGTTTTTAATTTTTTTAAATGATGGAATCTTAATGAATCATATAAAATTCAAAACAATCTATATTACATAAATAAAGCACTTAGTCTTTACCTGTGATCATTAACTGGCATTATGAAACTCATTAAGTTTCAAAAAGGAAAAGCAAATTAGAATTCACAAACTGATATTAAACACTGTTTACATATAACAGTTCAAAATAAAGTTCCCACACAGGTTTACAGTGCTGCCTACAATAAACAAATTACGTTTACACTGTTTTACATACCATAAGATTTATTTTTCTGATAAACACTTTATTAACTGTTTTCTCAGCTTTAATTATTTCTATTTTTGATAAAAAAAAATTCAAAAAAATTATTGCCATTTTAATTTTCAACATAAAACTTTCATATTTTTGTATGACATCAACAGGAAACAAATAGTTTAAAAGATTATAAAGCAAACACCTTCTGCTAGAAATGATTCTGCCATTTTTAGAATTGGTAGCGACATAATTAGAATGAACTGTAATTCATATTTTAAAAAATATTTATTATGTATTGAGCTATGATTTTTGTATTCATATTTTAGTTGATTATGTATGGCAAAGTAAACAAGCATTTTTCTGTGATGATTTATTTCTCTTTTCTTTCATTGCTGATAGATTAATTCAGTGCAGTAATGAGAATATGCAAAATACAATCATTAAAAAATGAATTCTATTAAAAAGCTAAGATTAGTTTAGTACATTTCATAGGAATTAAGATTTTCAAATACCTGTTCGTTTGGCTGCACTTGGATAACAATTTTTTAAAAAAATATATAAAATTTTTCATTTGTATATTTTGTGAGTCTATAGAATGCTGCATAATATAACCAAAATCCCAAACAGTATATTTCTGAAAATATACATATCTTTTGGGCAGGTGAACAAATTATATATTACTCCTTCCCTTATATACATATATTTTCAGAGCAATGCCACCAGGGACATGTCTAAATATTTTTAAGGCATAATTTATGGTCTCAAGGATTAAAAAAATTCTTATAAACCAAAAATAAAACATCTTTACCTGTTATGTCCATATGTAAATACACAAATTAGATGTATCAAAGAACAAAATTTAATTTGTGATAATATATTGTCATTGAATGTCATAACAGAGGTACAAAGTGCCACCATTTTCTCCAGCATCTCTTGAAATGAAAGTTGCTCATTTCTACTGTTCTCCAGCAAGAAAAAACTTAACACAAAATGTAAATCTTTATCATCCAAACCTAGAAATATTTTAAATTACATTAATTCTTCCACATCTTCTAAAGATATAAAATAATTAAAATAAAACAATACAAAATATTATATTTTCCATGCAAAACATCTTTCAATTAAAAATAAAAGAACTTGCAGAGTAACATTAGAACAATCTGTGTCTAATTATGCTTAGGTAAAACATAATTATGCACAATACACAAACCAGTCAAACATCAGAACTGACATATAATACATACTGGACATATCGGCACTTAGGGAAGCTGCATGGTAATGTAGTGAACCCATTTAGACTACCCCTCCCTCCCAAAAAAAGAATAACAAAATTCTGGAAAATTTTCTTTTCTAATGAAGAAAAACTAATGAAAGAACACACATTAAAAACGGGTCCAAATGAAAAATACCCCAATAATATACAAATTCACTGATACATGCAAAATTAATAAATACCTCTAGATCAAAAAAGAAGACACGCATTCGTGCAGTAATGAAAATGATGCACATCGCACAGTTTCCAAAATACTGGAACGTTTGTTTTTCACTAATTTGTGTGTATGCATTCCAAAAAGTATTACTGAATGTCTTTTACATAAAAATGTACTTCACTTTGGAACAACCAAGAGCCCACTTAAATGAACATCTAATTTTACTGCCTAATACTTTTTACATTGTACTCAAATGATTGAATAACTCAGGTGCTACAGTGTCTGAAAGAAATTTTCAAGAAAATGTTGAATTTTTATAATTTATATAAGTGATAAATTGTATATGCCAATGGAATGAACTCTTGATTTCAATTAATTTGCAAATAGTTTGCATACATATTTATAATTTTTTGCACACTGTAAGATTTATTTTTCTAATAATCACTTAAGCAAATGTTTTCTCAGCTTTATTTACTTCATCATTTCTTTTTCTGACAAAAAACTGAAAATTTAAATGTTACCAAAATAGACAACCCATGATGTCCCCAAAATGCATTCACGTGGCAACCCATATGCTCACTCATGCAGCAGAAGACTGCTGATTTCCACCTTCAAATTCGATGGTCATTAGCATAATCTCTACTTCGTAAACTACCAAATTTTACAGATTACAGTTTGTGGGGCAATACCAAATTTGCTCAATTTTAAAGATTTAAGGAAGAAAAGATTGTTGTCTAGATGGAAGAACAACAGTGTACACAGGTCCTAAATTTGTGCAATTCTTTGCCATTTGATGTGAAAACAGATTGCTGTGTACAAGGGGGAAACAGCTAAAACAAATTACATAAGGATTCCTTCATAAAGTAATTTATTATGGATGTTTTTAGCTTTTTCCATTCCATTGATTCATTGCTCCTTTATGGAATTCTTAGTGTGCTCCTATTTTTCAGAAGAGCTGTTGCCTTTCTTGTATTAGCTTGGTGAAAAATGAGTAGCCAAATTGTTGACGACTTCTTGGAAGGGAGTGCAAATAATCAGAAAGTGTTCAATTTCCTATGATTGCACTAGATCTTGAACCATCTCAATCACAAATTGGATGCACCTTCATTAGCTAGTTATTCAAGGAATTGCATCAGGTTGCCAAGTAAAAGATATTTCAAACAAGCGAAGGAAGATTCAGTTGATACCAATATCACAAAATACATTTTCAGCAGACACAGGTTAAGTTAATTACACTTAAACAGATAAACCAAAGCTTTCTGGCTTTCACTACAAAGGGAAAATTTTGTTACAACTAAATAATTTATGAATTTTGTGAATGAGTTTTATTTTCAAAATAAAATTTCTATTTGGCAAATGATATTCCTTAGGAAAATAGAGGGGTTACACCAATAGTAATATAGTATGACTGCGGTATAGAAGTTTTTTAAAACATAGACATATACTGCACATTAGCTATCTACACAGAAATTTGGAAAAAAATAATAACAAAATGCCATTTTATAAACGGAAAATACTGCAGGAACTCAATAGAATTAAAATACTTTAATATTACATATATCCTCTTTAGAGACACATTTTTTATTAACTACACTGAAATTTTTTAATACTTACTCTGACTGAACTAATATTTGTAGTATGCATTTTTACAATGTTTAATATTTGATTTGTTCATTTGCTCTGGATCATCTGGAAAATTCTGCAGTTTTTCTTGTGATAAATACAAATGTAGCAGTACAAAAACAAGAAAATTTCATCAAATCACATAAGCAATTAAAGAACAATTAGGTTTATTCAAAAAGAACTTATCGAGAAACTGTTTGACAGTCTCTAAGGAAGTGAACTGCAGGTCATTCAAAAAATTTTAAAGTGATCTAAAGAGATAAAAATCCCAGGGGACAGAGTCTGGTGAATACGGGGGGGGGGGGGGACACAGAACATCCCACACAGTAAGTCTCATCAAAATATAGAGCCAAGCATGGTAATGATGAAAGACAACACCTCAACGATTGGTCAGTGATAGCACTTTGCTTTGAATTTTGTTTTTAAAACTACCATTTGGAAACAGTATTTTTGTTGTTGTTGTTGTCTGATTTGATGGCAATAATACATAGTATGAAAAGTTTATTTATTGTCCCACCATACACAAAGCCTTACTTTTTTAGATGCATCCTCCTCTCGATGTAACTAAAGGATTTTCAGTTGGTTTACCCTATGCCTATTTTTTTTTTTTTTTGGTAACATTATTGTTGATCATCTGCATCTCCTCTGCAGTAATGACTTGTGTCAAAGATGAAGTTTCTTTATTCCTTTTCAGAAAATAATCACATGCCAAAAATCAAGGAAGCATATTTTGCTGTGTTAAAGTAAAGGGTACCCACACATTACAGCAGTTTACATACTCCCTCTTCTCCAAATGATCATGTACTGTACTTCTCGCAATATTTAGTCTGAAGTATGTGAACTGCCTAACACATATTTTCAGCATAAATTCCTTTTATAGGTCTTTGTATACAAAGGATGTTTGTCCAGAACAAATATCATCTTCAAAGCTAAAATATCCATGCTTTTAACTTCTCAAACCATCTTTGAATTCTGTCATCAGAAACAACACTTTGTTCATATATAACAAAAACTGAACATGTAGGTTAACTAGTTTGTAAACTGCTGGGATTGCTTACTCAAATAAATGCACAACCAGGCTTGATACCAAATTAGGACCTCCATATTAGGCAAGAAATGGGTTTGTCAGGCAAATCTCACCTCCAAATGAAAGCATACGAAATTCACTCTGCTGATGCCCATCCCATACTTACAGGCAGTAGACTCAAATATCTGTCAAATCCATGGCTGATCTGCTTGACCGGAGTTGCCACTTCCGGCCACCAGAGATCACGATGGGGTGCAGTTCTATTAGTCTGAAGATTTGAGTGGTCATCGAAGTGACTCCATCAGCACTATATGGGCAGCCCCACACTGAAGGGATAACACAGAATTCAGTGGTATACAACGGATTAGCCGTTGTACCGCTACTGACACCTAAATGGAATAACACAGAATTTGGGTAAAATGGCAAGCCATGCCCACTACTGATACCACAAGATTGGGGACTTACAGCCAATCACCCCTTGGTCCAACTGTATTAAACGATCTGGCCTAAGGGTTCTCAAACCGCCAGGCTTACGTTTTTGTTAACCCAGAATGCTACTGTCATAGCAAAATTCTAAGTCAGTGTGTACACCCCAGGATGTAAATTTTACACATAGTCTCACAAACATTTTTAAAATACACAAACATAATATGATGAAATTGAGCTTTTAAGTCCTTCTTTGCACCGTCGTGAAACAAAAATTGTGCTGCAACACACACTAGAGTTGTGCAAATGTCAGCAGAAAACACCATACTTAAACAGCAGCTTTGATCAAGGTCATGACTTATCAGCAGTAACAAAATACTGTAGGGGAAAAAACGTGCTTCAATTTGAGAAACTGCTGAACTTTCCTGATGACCCAACATAATCAATCGACTAGAATATAAATACCTGGCAAATATTACCTTCTTTTGTAATGCACAATATAGTCAATGCCGTTTGAATAACTATAGAACTATATTCATTTTCCATTTGAAGTAAAATTTCTCCAAAAAGTAATGAAAGAGTTGATGGCATACTCTGCAGCATAGACATGAACTAAAAATAAACATTCTTTAAATAAAAACCATTATTATATATACATAGATAGATAGGCAGAGATATACTAGATATAGCTACAGTACAAAGTCCGAGATCCAGACATCTAATATCCAAAATGATTTAAAATCCAGACCTTAAAGCCACCATCCAATTTTTTTAAAGAATTTTTTTTTCTGCTTTACGCATGCGCATTTGATTTTTTTCTTCATAACAAAAGATGTGGAGAATCCCTATTCTTAATCTCACTTCGGCACTAAATAAAATACCTCGTTATTGAAGAAACAATCATTTAAACATAAATTTGTGTGATCAATAATTTGGCTCCATAGCAGCATATCTGCTTGACATACATCTCAAACCAAAACATTCTACAAAGATAAATCATTGATTTTATACCCATGATGCCCAGCCTGGCAAATCATTAATTATATTTTGCTTTCATCACCGTATGTGTATCAACATGTGACAACTTGAGTAATGACTCATGCAGCGATGCCTAAACAATTTTTGGTTTAACCCTTGCAGCACAGTGTGTCCAGTCTGGACATACCTAAAAATTTCCTTCTGTGTGCACAGAAAAATTGAATGAAAAAGAATTTATAGGTTACTATAGGCTACTCTGAACCTTCTTTATTTATAGTAGATGGCAGCTCAACACAAACTAGTCCATATACTTTAGCCATGTTTAGTTTTCTAAGACCCTCATTTTTCAAAGAAATCTTCCAGATTTTTTATAGGGTATAAAAGGAAATTTTTGAAAAGAAATTTCTATGTTATTTTTTTGGTTGTATGCTAATCTCCTTATTCTATATTAGTTTTAAATTTTTACCTTGAAATCTTGCCTAAAATCAAACGGCGAACCCTAGGTGTGCCCCGATCGGGCTCGCCGATAATCTAGGACAACTGAGAGTCTTTATTCTTTGTTTCTCCGCATCTCATCGGTCAGTTCATTGACAACAATGCTCATTTCAGCACTCTTTTCGAAGCTTTATTCAATCAGTGTGCCTACTTTGGGCACACCCGCAGAATTAAAACGATAAGTGCTATCTTCACAAAATTTTACTTTTGTACTCCTCTAGGCCTAATTAGACTGCCTACCTTTTTCTAATCAAAACTCCAACTTTAAAAGGTAGCGTGCCAGAAAGGGTTAATCCTAGTGTATAGTACATATGGGATTCGGCAACATTATGATGATCAGTAAACACGGTGTTTATGATGAGCAGTAATGAGTCATTTTAGTGTTGGCGACAATTTTCAAAATCGCACCAAGGCAGTACTGTATACTAGGATTTAACTGCAAAAATACTTCACGAAGAAATGATCTTAAAAACTGAGTGCATATATTCCACAGATTAACCCAATTTTAAAACCACCGTGATATAATGTAATTAAAAATTTCAGGTGAAAATGCTCCAGCTGAAACAGAAGCTGCTGAACTGTTTGCAGATGAATTCATTGAACTCATTAATAGTGAAACGTTACCTCCAGGACAAATTTACAATGCTGATGAAACTGGTCTTTTTTGGTAATATGTACCGCAAAATACCTTATAAATACATGACCTTGAGCATAAAGAAGTAAAGATTTTCCCCATTATATATCGTGCAAATAAAAGGCAAGTGTTATGTATGATTGGTTTGAAAATCATTTCATACCCTAGGCTCAGCAAAATTTGAATTCGGTTGGTTTACCTGATGACGCAAACTGTCCTGATTGTACACAGCTGTTCAGCTCATATTTCACTTAAAATTTTAATGAAAGATTATGCATCCGTGTGGTCCATTCCTTCAAACTGTACATCCAAGCCTATGGATATCGGAATAATGTGCTCGCTGAAATGCAAATATAAAGTAGCATTTTTAAAATTGATGTGAAATTTCTTGAATAATGGCAAGACGGTTCAAGAATTTTTGAAATATTTTAGCATAAAATCTGTTGTGTGGAGTATCATAAGATCGTGGGAGGATGTGCCTCCAGATATTTTAAAAATGCTTGGCATAATTTATGGCCAGCTACCATATTTCATGATGAGGATGAAGATTATGGTAGCCACGAATATGAAGGCTTTCAGATATCGCAAACCACAGCTGAAATTTTCCAATTAATGGATTTTTTTAAGAAAATGTGGAGCAGCGGTAATAAATGAAGATGATATAAGAACTTTTTCATTGCAATGACAATGCCCCAATCACCAGTCAATTAACGAAGGGGGTAATCTGTAGTACGTTTCTCCATCCAGAAAATACTGCTACTGATAGTGAGGAAAGTGACAGAGAGGTTATTGAAAACAAGAAAATTTTATTTGACGTTAGTTGGAATTCTCGACACAGCAACTACAGGACTTGAACAGTGGAGCTTTGTCACTGAACAAGAAATCATGTGTGTCTATAGAATTGAACAGAAAGTAATAGCACAAAAAACAAAGCAATTAAAACAATTTACATTCAAAGAAATGTTTAATAAAGTAAATAATTAAGTAATAAGGGTATTTTTTTTTTTTTTTGAAAATTTTGATACCCTTTAGATCAAAATTTTGATACCCTTTAGATTTAAGCTTTATTTTTTCATGAATCACAATTTCATATTCTTAATTTTATAATTTCAACATGCTATCACACTAGATTTCAAATGATGATCTAATATCCGGAAAAATCACAAATCCGGAATCGCCGAAGTCCCGACGAGACCGGATCTCGGACTTTGTACTGTATTGGATATTGTGCCCAAAGCATAAATTGAAACATTAAATAAATAAACTTACATTATCAAATGATGCATAAATTCTAAGGAAATCACAAGCTGTCCTCAGATACAAAGGATTGCAACTATCTCTTTTTGTAATAATCTGCAACATTTGATTATTGAAGGAACTTTCATCGAGGGATTTACCATACTTCTTCAGATAATGCCTTACTAAAGAAGCTCGATCTGACTGATTCAATAAATCTAAACAGTGGAAAATTACTGCAGTCTCACTTTCCTGCCTCTCACATAAAACTCTGAAGGCATGTGATGATTCAGATGTAGTGCAAATAAATCTAAATCCCTAAATTCGAGGAAAGACACATATAAGATTTGTATATATACATATATATATCAACAAAAAAGTAATAAATATGTGTTCTCATGCAGAAAGTAAATACTATAGTTAAAAACTTTGATTAACAACATCAACACATCCAGAGAAGGTATACTACATGAAGCATAGAAAAGAAAATAACTTCAGCTTTACAGAAAAAAAATTACTTCAACATAATAGGGGGGAAACGCTTTCTTTACCTTAATATAAAAAAATAACTTCATCTTAATAGAAAAAAAAAACTTTCAATTAATGTTTCAAGGGTGAGACAAACAATAGAAACTTAAAAATAATTTAGATAATATACATGCAGCTACATCAATATTTAGTTTTACAACTTACATTTTACTGCTTGTTAAAATAATCTTTTCTTACACCTTTAAACTACATGAATACCAAGTAGGGCACTTAGTTCAAACAGAACGGATTTTTAGTAATACAACAATTTCTGTCCTATCTGATTAAAATTTAATACCGTATTTTTTTTAAAAAAAAGACAGAACCAAAAATGCTAAATGTAGTACAGAGAAATAAATCACTCTGAAAATTTTCTGAACACAAGATGAAAACTTCAAATTATAATCTCGTTTATACAGCAAAAGCTAAAATCATAGAATAATAAATTCACACTATACTGAACAGCAAACTGATCTAAGAAGTTTTAACTCACAAAAATAAAATAAAAAACTTTAAAAATCACGATTCCTCTTCATATTGTAAACCAATTTCATCTTTAATGTTATATAGGTCTTGGAGAGATCAAATTCAGTATGACTCAGCATCTAATTTTAGTTTACTTTAGGATAGTCTGAGTGAGGCAAAAAAAAATTTTGTGAAATTTTGCAATTTGAAAAGATGTGGATATTTTCTCAATAACTGATATATTTAAAAACAGAAACTGTTATTTTTAAGCAGCAAAAACGACTACTTTCCATTTACTATAAGATATTTCTTCCATAGTGCCTTCTGAATTCTGATGAACAAACATTTTTAGTATTTATTTTCCTGAATCTGTAAAAAGTAACTATATATAATATTTAGGGGAAAAAGCAACTGTACATACGAACAGATTTTTGAATGAAATTTTGCATCAAGAATCTCGAATTATGTATGTTCAAAAATGAAAAATTAACAAATGTATGTGAAAAGGTGAAGGTTTAAATATTTTTTTCCCCAATTTAGGTTTCATTTCATGGGACTTCCACTGGAGTGGTAAAATTTTGTTTATTGAAAGTTAGCATATGCCTGCTTTTTGGAAGACATCCAACATTCATTTAAGGACAAGGAAATCAGCTTTACACCCAATTAATAAGAAACTTTATTCAAGGAACAACAGATATTACCAGTTGGTATAAAACTATGATTGGCTCCACAAATTTCAGAATGCTAAGTTTATATCATTACTACTATTTTAAAATCCAACTAGCATGTTTAAAGATACTAGACTGAAACTACAAATACAAAGTGGCTGAGATATACAGTCAAAAGTCGTTAATTCGGACACCCATAATCCGGACCTCAAAGCTAAAAACTTCCTGCGCATGCGCCGCGTTGGCACACGCGCACAGGCGTTTTTACGCGCTGTAAGACCTTGACTACTGCGCATATGCGTGTGCGCAAGTGCAGAATACATTTTCGCCTGCGCGTTTAATGTATAACGGACGGCGTAAGCTAAAATTATCTAATTATCTATTTCAGTTAATGTTAATGATTGTGTTGTTCCTTAATCTTCGAATTGGATCTCGCTTATTATTTTTTGCAGACTGTAAGAGCAATTTTATAAAAGTAAACTTGAACTTTCGATTATGTCAAATAGAATTTCCGATGCTGGAACTTCCAAAGGATCTACAAAACGAAAGTATGTTTCGATGTCCAACAAACAAAAAGTGGAATTACTGCAAAAAATGGATAAAGACATGAAGAATGTGACAGAGAGGTTAGTGAAAACGAAAAAATTTCGATTGACAAGTTAGTCGGTATTCTCGACACAGCAATTAACGAGACTTGAACAGGGGAACTTTGTAACTGAACAAGAAATTATGTCTTTTTATAGAATTAAAGAGAAAGTATTATCACATAAAATGAAGCAACTTAAACAACTTACATTGAGAGAAATGTTTAATAAAGTAAACAAATAAATATTAAGCTTTTTTTTTTTTTTTTTGTAAATTTTGATACCCTTTAGATCATAATTGTTCTTTATTTCATAAATTACGGTTTCATATTTTTAATTTTAGAATTTCTGCATGCCATCTTACGAGATTTAAACTGATGATGTATAATCCGGAAAAATCGATAATCCGGAATCGCCGAAATCCCGACGAGTCCGGATTAACGACTTTTTACTGTATAGACATGCAGAAACACCTTCTGTTGATACTTAAGAGTTGATTGCATTACACTTGCTGAAATTGCTGTCTTGTTACATGCACAGTATATACATGGTGCCCGCTAAATTCTGTTACCACCCGTTTAACTGCCGAATGGCTGCATTCATAAAAATTGGTGTCTAGGTATAGTAAAGTGGCTATGCGCTACTAGATGAGATAGCTTACAGTGGCACCTGGTGGAAAACGGCAGACTTAGCGTCCCTATCTTGAAAACGGTACGAGATAGGAAGAAAAAGTGAATTACAAAGTTGTAGAGCATCATCAATTTAGTACGAATAGACACCTTGTGGATTTGAATGTGAAAAGCAGAAAGCTGAAAATGCACACTGGTTTCTCTGCGATTTCTGAGACTGTGACGTCACAAAACTTGGGAAAAAACGAAAGGAGAAAAGATTATCTTTTGGACAAAAAAAACGGGCTCGCATCACAACACAGTGGTATTGCTTGTAATTTAACCAACAGGACTGTGGTTCAAACCCCGCGGGATGAATCTTTGTACTGATTGTCTTTGCAAACAAAGTACACAATATGCAGATCATGCACAATTGTGTTGCAAAACACATCTACTCAACGCAACTTGAGCTTGGAGGTGAATTTCTACATCATGCAAATAGTGTTTGAAACATCATACCTGTTCACCAGAGACAGCTATAAAAGAGATAACTCCTCATTGTTGTATGTTATAGCTCATGGTCATTTACTAATTTTGAAAAAATGATTATTGTGAGATGGTTCTACTTTACGGTAAATGTGAGCCTAAGGCACGATCTGCAGTGCGGTTGTATTGGTGTTTCCTGCAGGCCCGCATCCTTCATACAAAACCATCCTACAGGTTGTGAAACATTTAAGGGAGATAGGCTGCATGACTAGCTGACTTTGATCCGCCATTGCTTCAACTTCAGAATGGATAGTTCTAACATGATGGGGGCTCCTGCACACAAGACGTCGCAAGTGAAGCAGTGTGTAATGGAAGAGCTTGGCCGTTTTGAGAGTGGCCTCCACATTCACCTGACCTGACTCCAATGGACTTTTTCCTGTGCAAATACCTCAAACAACAGGTGTATGCGACCCCTCCGCAAATATTGCAGAACCTTCAAAGATGTATTATAGATGCTTGTGCAAAAGTGTCACCCGCTATGCTACAACATGTGCAATATGAATTTCTAACAAGGGTCCAGATGTGCATTTTAGCTGATGGAGAGAAGTTTGAACATCGAAAATAGAGGTAGCTTGTGATAATTAGTTCCCTTCCCCAGATCGTTTTATGACGTCACAGTTTCGGAAATAAATCAAACAAACAAATGCGCGTTTAAAACATTCTGCTCTTAGCATTCATGTCCACAAGGTGTCTCTCCGTACTGAACTGATAATACTCTACAACTTTGCAATTCACTTTTTCTTCCTATCTTGTACCGTTTTCGAAACAAGGACGCTAACTTCACTGTTTTCCACCAGGTGTTACTGTAAGCTTTCTTTTCTAGTAGCGTATAGCCACTTTACTATACCTAGACACAAATTTTATGAATACAGCTGCAGCGATTCAACAGTTAAACAGGTGGTACCAGACTTTAGTGGGCACCCTGTATAATAAGTGGTAAGAGATACATGCCAAATTAAAAATTTTTTTAAAGTCCACCTTAGTGTAGCACTGATTTCTAAAATAAAATACAGTCAAAAGTCTTTAATCCGGACTCGTTGGGAGTTCGGCGATTCTGGATTATCGGTTTTTTCGGATTATAGATCCTCAGTTTAAATCTGGTAAGATGGCATACAGAAATTATAAAATTTAGAATATGAAATGGTAATTTATGAAATAAAGAGCAATTATGATCTAAAGGGTATCAAAATTTACAAAAAAAAAAGCTTAATATTTATTTGTTTACTTCATTAAACATTTCTTTCAACACGCGCATGCGTAAAGCATACATTACGCATAGTCGAAATTAGAAATTGCAACCAGAAAAAATTTGAGTATCGTGTATTTATAATAGAAATTTGATTTAAATCATATCAAGAGAAAATACAATTTGAATTATAGAAAATCACATGAACATTTTCTTTCCAACCGCGCAGTAAAGCATACATTACGCATAGTCGAAATTAGAAAAGCAACCAGGAAAAAAAAAATATTTGATGTGTATTCGTGATATTTATAATGACGAGAAATTTGATTTAAATCATATCAAAGAAGAAGTACATTGAGATGAAATACTAAATTTAGTAAGGAATTATAAGCCAAATAAAATAAAAACATCTGCCCTGAAGATAAGGATAGTGCTGAAAGATCAACTTCCAGTTCATTGCGTGCCGCGACGATTCCCCCCCCCCCCGGCAGAGCAGTGTGAAATTGATAAAAAGATTTTGGAATGGTTAGAGAAGCAAAGGACATGCCTTTATCCATTTTTTGCAGCAATTCCACTTTTTGTTTGATCGACATTGAAACATGCTTTCTTTTTGTAGATCCTTTGGCAGCTCCAGAATCGAGAGTTCAAGCTTACTTTCATAAAATTGCTCTAACAGTCTGCAAAAAATAATAAGCTGGATCCAATTAGAAGATTAAGGAACAGCGCAACATGC